TGCCGCACCAATTATGTTGTTAAGCTATTAAATTTTAATGCCATGGTTTCCACACTTTATGATTTTTATTTTTAGTAGACAAATAATAAATAAAAAGAATTCTTTTATTTCTCTCCGTATCAAATTGAAAATGACAGCACAAATGATTTTCATCCAATATTCAATGCTTTTGCCATTTTGCACAGACTTCTTACTCCACTTACAGCTCTTGTATACATAATAAATGTGATATATAAACTCTTATATTTCAACAGCTATGAATGAGTCTCTGATTAAGAGCACTTTAGTGCTTCCCTGCAATTTTTCTTGGCCTTGATGTGTTGATTCAATAAATTTGGTCTGACAACTTAATCCTTAATTCGAAATCACTTCGTGTGTGTCACACACACACACTCACACACCCGGACAGTCATCAGAGTGCAGCAGGCAGCCGAACGACATAATCAATAATGAGGTTAAATTGCAGGTTGACATGAGATAAACGGCATTTGTAGTGTGTGGGCAACTAATGAATGCGATGGCCAAACACATTCATAGCCGGCGCTCTGTCATTTCTTCTGCCATCACCTAGGTGACAGGCATGGCTGACAGTCGGAGAGACAGCGGGGCAATCAAATAAAACCGCTTTTATTGTAATCCACAATGTCAAAACATTGCAGCGGATGTTTAGCCAAAGTGTTTGGGGCAGAGCAACAAAACGTTGTGGCATGCGAGTAGGCAATTGAACCTAGCCACACATACAATCACGTGCTATCAAGTGTGTGCGTGTGTGTATGTGACCTACCTGCACAGCTTTATCGCATGACACGCAGTTCTGCTGAAAATGATTTTACTATTTTTTTCTCTCTCGGGAAGCTTCCTTTAACGACACACTAAACCATAAAGTACTTATGCCGGGTGGGCCCAGAGAGGTGGGGAGAGATAGTGGAAAAAAAGGTTTGGGCTTCATTGATTTTCCATTGATAAATAGCTGACAGGTCACCCTTGCCTTGCCAAGCGAGCGCTCCACTGAGTGAGCCCTGCACATCAGGTTAAATAGTTTAAGACTGTCAGACACGTTAAAAAACAATTTCCGTTGCACGGTAAATGGAAAATTAGCGACACAGTGACGTAGCGGAAATGAGTTGAAAAAGGAAGAAAAATAAAAATGCTGCATGCAGAATTTATGTTAAGCGGTTTAACTTGCGACTCACCTTTGATTTGGGCAGCTGAAGAGGAGAATAAGACTAGATGATTCTCTAATTGATATGATTTGCTTATCAGGCATGGGGATAATCGCTTATGTATGGTGATCTGCCACAAAAGTGAATTAGTAAATTGCCAATGTTTGCCCCTAATATGTATAAAAGAAAACTTTAAGCGATTTGTGTGCAGGTCAATCAACTGCCCGATGGCAGAGCGAACATGTCACGCGTATAACGAGCGTCCCACGGCATCGTCGCATAAAACTCTCGTAAGTAAAAAAATATATCTATATGTGTAGAGAGAAAATCTCAAAGAAATATTAATAAAAGATGAGCGACATTAGTGTCTGCTGCTTCTTCTTCTTCTGCGTCTTATGTCCAACCCAAAAATCGTAAAAGTAGCAAACAGAAATAAAGAAAGAAAGAAAACACTTTTTACTACATCCTTTGAAACTGAATGAACGCCTCCTGCTGCCTCCTGCTGCCTCCTGCTGTCTCCTGCTGCCTCCAGCCGTCGGCATTTTGCATTGGCTCTCATCTAACCTCGAGCGTTTTGTTGACCTTTTTTTCTTGCCTTCGTTTGGCTAGGAATGAAGAGAAAAAAAAAGAAAAAGAACGAAGAAGAAAAGATGCTGTTGGCTTTAGCTGTAGCTCTTTAAACCGTTAGCCAAAATGCAAAAAAATAAGAAAAAAGAAAATGCCGTAAAATTTGTAACACTTTTTTGGGACTAGCCGAACATACACACACAAACTTAGACAGGCAGGACATCGACACAGACGTTATGGTCTCGAGATGTTTTCTTCGACGAAAAAGTATGACACGAAATAACAACAATAAAGCGAAAGAAACAGCCACATCAAAACTTGGCCCCAGGCACAATTTGTCACACATACATGCCACATAAATTATATATGTGCAGAGACAGCTCCTCTATATATATGTGTGTCTGTGTGTGTGTATGTTTGTTGTGCTGAACCTATTTGATTAATAAATTGTTTAGAGCCCGCGCTGAGCAATGACCGAAACTTACTGACTTGTGGCTAATAAAATATGAATGCCGCAACTTTTCAGTCACAGCATCAAAAGGTGACATACACACGCACACTCATAGTCCCACACACACGCACAGGCACACACACACTCTCGCACACAACACATCCGATTCACAAATTAGTCATGCGCATATAAATATTGCTTGTAATTTATGTGCCGCCTTGATGTAGCTGTGCGCCTCAAATGGAGCGCACATTTAACCTCAGTTAGCATTTGCATTTGGACGCATATGTTTTGCTGGGTCCGCACTGCGTATACGTAATATGAGTTTCTGTTACTTTTTGCGCTGTCATTTTCACTGGATTTGCTAGTTGGCTTCATTTTTCCCTTCTCTTACGTTTTCCATTTCTGTTTTTTTTTTTTTATTTAGTTGTTGTCCTTTTGCTTCTTCGGTTTGCTTTTTGGGGCAGCGCCTTTGATTACATCTCAATCAATTGGCGGCTGTTTTATGTTTGCATTCATTTCGACATCAACTTTCGGCATTTGAAATGTTCTTTTTTTATGACGCCTGCGGCCGGCCGTTGAGAATGTTTTCTCTTTTTTTTTTTTCAGAGACCCTCTCATGAAAATTTGTAAGCATTTTAAGCTGTTTC